CGGCTGCTGCTGCTCCTGCGTCCGCAGCTGGGCTGCCCGGGGGCCGCCCCCGTCAGCCGCCCGCCGCCGGCGTCTCGTGCATGGCCGCAGCATGGCCACGCTGCTCTGCCGGGTGCAGTTCCTGGACGACACCGACCCCTTCACCAGCACCAGCTTCCCCGAGCCCACTCGCCCGCCGCTGTACGCCTTCCGCGAGGACCTGCCGCTCAGCACCCAGCTGCCCGCCGTGCACCGCCTGCTGCGAGCCCCGCACAAGGTGGGCTGCGGCCGGGGGGACCCTCTGCCGGGGATCCGGCGGCGCGGGGCCGGGGTGGCAGGGCTGGCCGGAGGGTTTTATGTTGTGTGGGAAGGGGCAGGCACGGATATCCATCTCCCCCTGCCTTCTGGAGCAAGGGCTGCTCTTAAAAGCTCAGCCCTGCTGTTTGAGGGTAGAAGCTTGGGAGGGGGCTCCCCAGGAGACGTGATGGCATGGCAGGGTTCAGGCCCCCGTTTTTACAGCCATTCGCCACCCCCCACCAGGGATGCTGAACTCTAGCAAAGGGACAGCTCTGCTGCTGTTGCTGCTGCTTGGGAGGGATGGGGTGCATCCATGCCTCAGAGGGGCACAGACTGCCAGGGAGAGGGGTTGGCTGTGGACCACTCAGGAAGAGCTTTGGGAATCGGAAACTTAGAAGATGTAGGAAGAGAAAAATACCAAACATCTTTCTTTCTCTCTCTCTAGCGTATCCCTGATGTGCAGAGTAGGGCGGTAAATTGGTAATCACATCTTCTGGCAGCTTTGCCTTGTGCTGGATTTAGAAAACATCCCACTTGAGCACGAGCTAACCCAAACCAAGGTGCTGCAGCTATCCTGGATGTCTAGGAATGACACTTGAGAGTAACCGTCCTAAATGTTCCTTTGTGATTATAGAATTGTAGAAAATGAGGGTTGGAAGGGACCTTGAGAGGTCATCTAGTCCAACCGCCTGCTCAAAGCAGGACCATCCTCAAGTAGATCACTTCAGCCAAAGCTTTGTTTAGCCAGCTCTTAAAAATCTCCATCGCTGGAAGTTTATGCGTTGAAATATGGACAGATTTTTCTGGGGTGCAACTGGGATCTAGGAACCTGACCCCTGTGGAAACTCTGTGGGGTTAGATGCCAACCTATCCTTTGAAAATCCCTCCCAGAACGTGAAAGGCCAAGTATGCCCAGCTGTTTTTCATTATTTTTACTCTGCATGGTCTACATAAGGTCACCTCTAAACCTTTCTCAAGAATAGAAGATGTTTGAGAGCCTATGGACTTTGATAGCAGCGTTGTTCTCCCATGAGATTGTGTCAGAGTTTACTCTTAATAAGTAATCCCTTGAGAGAATAAGAGGTCTGTGTAGATTATTGCAGTTCAATGTGGGTCTTCTGAATAGTGCATACTTGCATCTCTGCAAGTCAGTATGTCTATGAAAGTATGTTAGTGGCTTTGTGAATAATTGATTCATGTTACTTTACTCTCATATGTCAGTTTTACTTGCCAATAACACTGTTAAGGCACAGTCATGTTCGATGCATTTAGGTGTAACCATTGCATTTCTGAAGCATTTAAAGCAGATTAGAAACAAATTTGACATGTTGCCCCCCCCTTTTCTGGCAACCTCTTCATAGTATCATGGTATATAGAAAAAGCATTTATTATTTAGGAAGGTTGGTTAAACTGGGAAGAGCATGTTCATGCAGAGCAGGGTTTAAGCTATTACTGCTGGAAGGTTTTATGAGCTAAACACAGCAAGGGCTTTGGTAAAAATAGCAGTAAGTCTGCTGTCCTTGAAACAATTGACACTCATTATTCACCGTTGAGAAGAGCTAAGGTATGTTATCAACACAGACCTTTGTAAAACCTTGCATATTCTTACACACTCATTTTAATGCATTTGCTGATTAAAGTAGCCCTCTGCACTTTACATGTGCATTCAGATACGGGTTTCTTTTTAATTGTAAGTTTTTTGAAACGATATCACTGTTTGGTATGAGAATAGTTCCCTTTATTCTTTATCGCCTTATTCTCTAACAATGCCTCTGGTTTGTGTATTAACTCAGCAAAGTGGATGGGGGGTAAGAAAAACAATATAAATGTTTTTCTGAAGAAAACAAAGTAGGAAAAGACCATTTAAGCTACTCTGGGATTGTGTGGGAGGGGGGTGTTCTCTTATCCTCCATTTGTCTCCTAGCATGCACTCAGGGGTTTGTTGGATGATGGCAAAGGCTATGTATACTCTTAGCTTTAAGGGTGCCCACAGATCAATACAACAACAAAAAAGGAATTCAAAGAGAATCCTTTCAGCACAGGTTTTACATTTGCAGAACATTTTCTTATGTAACAGTTGTCAAGGTTACAGCAACTAGAGTTCTGCATAATGCACAAAATCAAAGGGACTCGGTGTAGTGGTGTTCAAACTTCCGAAAGTCATGGAACCCTTTCATATCCCTTCTGTAGCAGAACATCTCTGCTTGGCTTTGTGGGCCGTGTGAACTGACATGGGCCAGGTGGCCCAGTCCAGCAGTAGCAGTGTGTTGCTTCCTGGTGTACTCCACCATTACCCCCAGTCTCTGCAGAACACCTGATGACCTATTGTGGAACCCCAGGGTTCAACAGAACACAGTTTGAAAAGTTAGCATTGCGTCATACTTTTTCACAGCATAGGAAGCACATTCTGATAACTTACTCTTGTTGAATACTTTTTTATTCTTCAAGCAATCACATTGCTTTCTGTGGGGCTATTTGTAGAGTAAGGATCTGCTCAATGGGAGTAAGATCAGAGTTAGGTCAGTAACATGGGGTGCTTATACACATGCAGAAAAGCTGCTCCGATGCACTGTAATTACAGTGTGTTGGAGCAGACTCAATTTAAGCAAGTCTGCTGGTGCATGGTAATTACAGCAGACACATACATCAGCATCCCTGTGCTGATGAATGGCGGCTGGGGTGTTTTAAAGCTTGTTTTATGACCTTTAGTTAAAACACCCCTGCTGCCACTTTTGAGTGTGGGGATGCTGATACATGTGATGTTCTGGGCACTTTAATTAGGGCAGTTCTTGGAGCCGTTTTAATTGAAGTGTCATGGTTTCATAATTTCATAGTTGGTAGGGTCGGAAGGGACCTGAGTAGATCATCAAGTCTGACCCCCTGCCATGGGCAGGGAAGAATGCTGGGGTCAGACGACCCCGGGCTAGGTGGTTACCTAGCCTCCTTTTGAATACCCCCAGGGTAGGAGCGACCACCACTTCCCTTGGAAGTTGGTTCCAGATCCTAGCCACCCTGACTGTGAAGTAGTGCCTTTTAATGTCCAGCCTGAATCTATTCTCAGTCACCTTATGGCCATTATTCCTCATTACTCCCAGTAGTGCTCCTGTCCGCCCCGCACCTCAAGCATGTATATAAATTCCTATGATTACCGGGTTATGTAATTGACTTGACTGTGGCATTGCTTTATGACTCACACAAGATGGCCTAATTTTCAGAAGTGACCAGTAACTTAGGGTGGCTTCATTTTTTGTTTCTTTCTTTGGGAAGCCAGACTTGCGATTCCTTGGATGTGATGCTAGATGTCCCATACTTCTCTAATGACCAGGGACTCCAATCAGACGTGTGCTTGCTCAGCACTTCTGAGAATCAGGCCCAGGGTGCTCCAGACTTGTTTTATATTTTGTAAGACCCTTAAAATCAGTAGCCACTTCTGAACATTTTTTACTTTCATCCCTGTCTCATATTTTACCCCCTCTTTTTCTAACATGTAAACTATCTCACTGAGGTTTCATAAGAATTTGGAAAAATTAGAAGTTAAGGAGAAAAGCAGTTTGAGAAGTTGAAAACAGAATTAAGTTTATCTCAAAGAAGTTTGTTAATGTTTGTAAAACAGATGTGGTGATTTTGGACACAAGATGCTATGAAAGTCCATGGGTGGTAAAGGAAAACACACATTAAAATTCAGCTCCTGTCCCAGAGATTTATAGTGTCAGGACTTCAGCCTGTGAACATTTATGCAGCTGCTATTTTAATTATGTGAGTAGGTCCCATGGACTAAGCAAGGCTAATTACATGCACAGACATACTAGTGTCTTTCCAAAATTATCCAAGGAGTAAAAGTCAGATTAATCTTGTAGTAAAGAGTTGAAAGAGTATCAGGAAGTGTAACTGTAAAATATCAGAATCAGGTCCATCCTGCAATTTAGTTATTTCTTCCAGCATGTTTACTACCTCTTCAATTTTGGTGTCAGCAGCATTTAATCATGGTTCAGTGTATTTCTATATACATTTTGGAACCCTGTTGAGCAGTCCTCTCAAAGTTCATGAGCTCATCCTTGTTCACCAATTAAATAATGTTGAAATATATCATTAAGCTTGCAGCAAAGGCTAAGCTTTAAAAAATGCACAAAATCATGCCATGGAGCCAGCAAGAACTGAAACTTTTCAAAGGGCAGGTGCTACAAGCAGGGCACATGCGAGAAGGCCTTTACCTTTGTATCTCATTCTGTGCATCTCTTAGCCCTCCTCTACATGTTGCATCTGTTGTGCAATTACCCGATTAATTGCACAATTAATTTGTACCTGTAGCAAGTATAAATTAATTAATTAATTAATACAGCTGGAGTACTGCATCCAGTTCTGGGCACCACACTATAACAAGGACATGGACAAGCTTGAGAGAGTCCAAAAATGGGCCACCCATATGATCAATCTTACACAGCAAGCCATTCAAGGAAAGGCTGAGGGATCTGGGACTCTTCAGTCTGAGGAAAAGAAGGCTGAGAGGGGACCTGGTAGCAGTTTACCAGTATACTAGAGAAGTACATCAAGAACTTGGTGAACAACTGTTCACCAGGGCACCTGAGGGGAAACCAGGACTAATGGCCACAAACTCCTGGAAGACTGATTCAGGCTCAACATGAGGAAAAAATTCCTCAGTCAGGATGTCCAGACTGTAGAATAAGCTCCCTCTAGAGGTGGTGCAATCTCCTATCCTAGAGGAGACCAGATGGTCACCTTGCTGGGGTCACCTGACCCCCAGTTGTCTTTCCTACTTGGTGCAGGGGGCCAGACCCGATCTTCCGAGGTCCCTTCTGGCCTTATAATCCATGAATTGTATGGATCATGCATTAGATCCCATTGCATCTTTACCTGCACATGTAGAGGGGGGCTTATAAGTGCACGAAACATTCTCAAATAGTCATTTACTGAATTTTATTACCAATGTTTCTATTTTGTAGTACTTCTTTGAATTTAAAA